AACACGCATCTCATGCGTGTTAAAAAAATGCTAATAAAAATGTAAAATTTTATGTTAAATAATTTTAGAGGTATAAAATAAATAATACTAAATTGTATTATAACTAAATATTATTTGTTGAATCTTTATTGGTTACAACAATAAACATAATACATATTTTCTGAATAAACAACTATTTTAAATAACACAAAACGAACAAAATTTTTCTTTAATCGTGCGAAATAAAACAAGAATTCCATCCATAAATCCTGAAACGAAAAGAAAAAAAAAACAATTGTTGAAAGCGAAAAACTTCCTAAAGCACATGATTTTGATTGTATGTGACTAATTACTTTTGCATTTGCAGCGATTTAACTAATTTTTAATTTACTACTTCTAATTTCTATAACGTCTAATTAAGATTTTCTTGCTTTATGTAATGAAAATACTTTAGATTTATAAAGATTAAAAAGTTTGGTTATAATACATACAATTAAATTGGCATATCTAGGATAATTATCAAAATGAATATCAGAATTAAAACTTTGTTAAGAATTTCAATATTTGGGGATAACACAATTACGAATACGAATAATAATCCTTTTTTCAGTTGACAATAAAATGAAAATGTTTTTTCTAAAACAGTGTAAATGGGCCAGAACAATTTACTATTACAATCAAATATATGCATTTATAGGACATAGACATGCAAAAGTATCAAAATAAGTTTACTTACAGTAAATTATTACTAAATTTATGCCTAAAACTGTATTAAATAAAAGTAAAACTCACTTAGAATTGTTTACATCGACAGCCATATTGTATTTTGTATCATTCGGGTTTCGTTTATCGAGTCGACTCGAGCACACAGACTCGAGCATTTCAGCATTAACGAGATTTGGGTTTTGTTATCCAAAGCCAGGTTTACGTTGTACAAATAATGGAATAAATTCATATTTTTTCAATTTTACGATTGATAAATAAAAAAAATGTGAAACTATTACTTTTGGCAAGTTAATAACACATTTTTATTAAGATATTTTGTAATTATTCTGTTTTCTTTATATTTTATATATAATTGTGTTATTGTAAAACGGACGTACGCCAGTTTCGATGCGCAGTAACTTGTTGACAAAATGCGCATATGCTATAAACCCCCGTGGTGTATCCACTCTTACCGTCAAGGTCAATGCGTGTTAAGTTTCATACCCCTACCGTCGTGAGGTCGCCACTATCACCGTTTATAGGACACGCTTGTGCAGCGTTGCCAATAGCAATAATTTTACCTGATTTTTGGGTATTCTTAATAAACTAATGAACTTTTATGAATTGATTTATAATTTATTAATGCAAGATTATAGCGTTTTTGCCGTTTTTCATTTAGTAGTATGTACTATTGCTGAAAAGTAATGTTTTAAAATATTTTCATCGTCACTATTGCATTTATTGGTGACTTCAGGAGTTCGGGATAAGTGATGAGAATTATCACCATTTGACCGTGACAACACTGCCTACTTTGTGTACTTGATACCTACATAACCACAAATATTTCTTAATTATTTATTATTTTTATGAATGTTGTGAGTGATTTTTTTGTTTTTGAACTGATTGTTAAATAATAAAATGGAAATAAAACAGAAAGTCAATAGTGAAATGGAAATAAAGCACAAAATTAATACCACAGCATAAAGTTTATTTAATAGGCAGTGTCGCGATTAGTTTCGGCTTACATTGGTCAGTGACTACATGGAGGAAGGATTAATGTGACCACATTACATTTGAGATAATGGATAAACTTTCAGTCATGATTGTAAAGTGTAAGTGTTCCCGGTTCCAGGTTGTTACATTATTTTAATGGTAAAATACGTCTTCTTGCTAACAAAAGATACCTATAATATAAGAAATAATAAGAAAAACCAGATAAAACTAAAAAAAATGAAAACACTTGAATCTTTTTTATTTTATCTTAATATTTTGCATGTACCTATTATTATTGCCTTATTTTAAGCTATTTTTAGTTTTAGTTAAAATAATACCCGAAATTTACATTTTATAAATAAATCGTTATAAATATAATAAATGGTTTCATTTCATAAAAAAATGTGGCATCAAAACATGATTAAACCATTATAGTTAAGATTTGTTTGCTTATTGTAATCAAATGTCAACTTTAATGGGACACATAACAACCACGTTCAAAGCGTGCTTCCAAAAAATTATTCAGACATTCAAAAATTGCCGCCATCGTTTAGTTTAAACCCCCACCACTGTGATGGCGCTGAAATCAGCTACGAAAATTATACATTGAGTGTACTGTCTATAAACAATATATAAAAGGTCTGTGATTGAATGCATCTCCGCGATATTCCATCGGTTCATCTCCTCCGGTTGCGCAAGGACGGTAGTGGGGACGCTATAAGTTTACAGCAATATGAGATTTAACATAATATCGATAATTATTTGCAAATCGTGGGAATTTCGGAAAATAATAATTTAAAAATCAAAAAAATTTAAGAACAAGGGTTGATTCAGTTAATTAAAAATATTACATCCCCCACTTACGGAAGAAAATAAGTGTTTACAATTATTTTCGCCTACACCCATTCTCTAACCTATGCTACAAAAGCTAACACATTCTAACAGCAGTTTTATTAATCTTTTTCAAAGTCTTCTCTCTTCGGTTCCGGAGCATTTCCATATCATACCATAGGACTCGGAACCTGCGACTGACATCAAAGGGGTAGGCTTCTCAACGGCGTCAGGACTGGACACCGACATTGCGGCGTGTGGTTCTGTTGGTCTGAGCAACAATAGAGCAAGTGAGTGGCGTTAGTTGTTTGGCGGCGGTTTTGTTGCAAATGCAATCTCGGGAATGAATACCAACCAAGCCAACAACAGGAGCACAATAAACGGAGCTTTCCGGTACAAGCGTCACCACGACTGTGACCAAAAGTTTAACATTTCCAGCAAAGCTTATGGGAAGGTAAACGTCGGCACGGCGAAACCTTTTATTATTCGGCGGTTTTCTCACCGGCGACGTCGGAGATCGGGGTCACTTATCGTGGGACTTCAGAAGCTGGTGCATCGTGGGAGTAAAACGTTGGGCAGGTTAAAACGCCCCATTCCTTGGGGCCCCAGGGAGAAATTGGAGTGACAAATAGTTGAAACAGAATCGGTCTTATTGTCGTCGGAATCAGATAGAGACAATTCGGATCAGCCGATTATCTCAAATGAAGTGTCGGAAGCCATCTGTGGAAACAGGACATTAGTTAATACAGATTCGAACAAATACCTCCGGTCGATGGCCTAATAACTCTCAGACGGATAGGGGATGGAGACGATGCGAAAGAGAAAAACTGAAAGGGAAACGTTAGGGCAGACTCGTCAGAAATGAGAACTAAACGGTTGTATAGGTACAGTCACAGGACATTATCCCTACCACCCCACAGCAGGAACAAAACAAAATAGGTTACTGGGAACAGCGATCCCTACGGTGGCCCTGAGCGCCACATCGCCAGCAGGTGTCGTGGTCAACACGTAGGTGCTGTCTTCGCTTTTCGGCGATGGGGTTCGGGCTTTCGGGGTTAGGAGCGCCTCGGGAATGGCGGGATTTTCCTTGGCGATTTGTGTTCGGGGTCTAATGATTAAATGTTTCTGACCAAAGTCCTCATCAAAGTACTCGGAGACCTCGGCGTCCCCGATGTTAGGGATTATCATCATCATACTGAAACACAACAATTCATGTAAATGGGTGCGGATGGAGGGTCCAAGACTGAGTCTTTAAAATTCTTTTACATGACTACATCGCTTCTCGTGTAAATTTAATTATTTCACCACTTCAGCATGGTTTTATTAAGGAACGCCCGACAATTATTACAAACTTAACATCTGTTACATTGCCGAGGGTATTGATAATCGTAAGCAAACTGACGTATTATACATGGACTCCTCCAAAGTCTTTGACAGGCTTGACTACGGTATTCGTTTAAACAAACTCGCAACTTTCGGGCTTTCGAAATCACTTATTCAACTTATCGAATCCCATTTGTCTAATATTTGTCTTGTATGTCTTTTGTAAAGGATCTAAGTCTGTCGAATATCTTAGATATTCAGGAGTACCTTAAGGATCTGTTCTTGGCCCCTTATTGTTTATTATGTTCATCAATGATATAACCGAAGTAATAGATATTAATGGTATGTTATTCGGCGATTATTTTAAGATTTTTCATTATATCGTCAGTACTGAAGTCTATGAATGCCTTACCCGTAATTTACTGTGTTGAAAGATGGTATAACCTCAATTAATTATCTCTTAACACTTCTAAATGTCATGTTATATCATTCTTCCTAAAATCTAATGTAATACATTGTAATTATGAAATTGGCAATACTATCTTCGTAAGGCCTGAAACTTTTGTGGATCTTGGCGGTAACCTTCGATCCTCAATGGACATTTGTTTAGCCAATTTCTTAGAAGCTGTTTTATAGTTGTCAAGCAATATGCTGTTTTTGCCAATGCTCTTCGTTATGGTTTTTTGCTAGTATTGTATCTAGATAGTTTTGTCAGTTGAGTTATTTTCAAGTAATTTTTCTTTCCAGTGGTGGTCTACAAAGATCGGATGTCTGCTAACACAACCTTTAATTACAAACCATAAACAAACATAGATAAATACTTGATCACATACATATTTTTTGAATTTATATTTTGTTACAATTTTAATTTGAAAGATATTTTAATTATAGGTGTGCTATTATAAATTTTAATAAAATGTTTTGTATATGTATATAAAAAATACCTAAAACAGGATCTGCGATACATCAAAAACTACGAAACCAGATCTGCGAATAGTCTTAGCAAACTGGAGTCTTCTGACAATAGACATCATATTCTCCTGAAAACCCCCTTCCTCGAAAAACCGTGACTTGTACAGATCAAAGGTACTACTTGAAAGTCAAAATAATGATTGTTTTCTAATCAGAAGCTAGAGAAACTCGGTAATAACAGAGATAATATGTTTTAGATACAGAATTAGGCCACGATATCTTCGTAATGTAGAACAGAGGACTATGAGGAAAAAGATTTTAGGAAAGGATGTAGCTATTCCTATTGGCTTATCACCAACAGCAATTCAAAAACTGGCCCATAAAGATGGGGAATGTGCTGCTGCAAAAGGTAAATTTTATTATAGGTAATTATCAGGTAAACATCGACTAGCTTTATTTCTGGTGTGCTGCGGCTATAAATATGAATTTTTGGAATATGAACCAGTACAATAGGTAAACAAACATTTGGTATGATTGACACTTTTTTTTATTAAAATCTGACTAATTTCCTAGAACATTTAACAGAGCCTCTAATTTATTATACAGAGTTTGTGAGGAATCCATAATAGGAAAAAATTATTTAATAATAATAATAATAATTACACATTTATTGTCCACATATAAAGTACATATAGTACAGTTTATGCAATTAAAAATATATATATGAAAAAAAGTCAGTAGACAATTGGCCCAAATTGGTTCAGGTGCGGATATTATCCACCCCTGGTTTCCACCAATGCCAATTTGATATAAAAAAAAGCACTTTGAGATGGCTTTCTAAAATTTTATTTATACCTTTAATTTAACGGACCTTCTCTACATTTATCAGTGGTGATAAGGCACTGGAAATATAAACAGTGTGTTCCGAGGTCTTTTGCAATGCAGCTGAGTCTTTTTTTCTGATCTGAAGAACATAATTTTTGTTTCATCTTTAATAATTCTAAAAATAGATAATGAAAAAGTGTTGAAGAAGGCAAAATCTTGAAACACCGCAAATAAAGAAAAAAACGGATGTTTATTTATTATTGAAAATCGTTAAAATATTTTCTAGCTGCTGAAGAGCTAGGTACTATCTATATACTAAGTTTACACTCCACATCTACCATGGAAGAAGTAACGCAAGCTGCTCCCAAAGGTAGGAAATGGTTGCAATGCTACATCTTCAAAGTAAGGTAAATCTTTTTTTCTAAGACATCATATTTTAAAGCACAAATAAAATGAATAATAACCGGATTAGCTTAAAATTAACGAAATTCTTACACATTTGTAGGTTTATTACTCAGCAATGCTGTTTTATGTAATAAAGTTGACTATACTTAGACAAAATATTGAAGAAGGTGATTCCTCCCTGTTCACGTACAACAATCTTACTATACCAGAGCATAATGAATGGAATCACGCGCTTAAAACTGCAAAAGTTATCGGTATCACGTGCCAACTAATCATAAATGCATGTTTATTGCCAAAATGAACTACGCCAGTGGCGTATAAAAACTATTGACAAATGAAATGCGGTAATAGTAAATAATATTATATGAAAGTAGGTTGGTTATCTATTTTTGTAGTAATAATAATCAGTTATGTTTATAATTTTGTTGTGTTTATTGTTTAAATATGTAAATATTATGCCAGTGGCGTAGAAACACTATTGGAAAATTAAATAGGGTAATATACTAGAACAAAATATTAAAGAAAGGTGTGCCTTAAAACTGCAAAAGGTATCGTTATCATATCAAAATGCACTCTTCCAGTGTCGCAAAAATACCATATTGGTAAATTAAATGGGTATTTGAGAATATTACTAGATGAAAGTAGGTTGGTTATCTATTTTTGTGATAATAATTCATCTATGTTTATAATTGTATTTTGTTTATTATAAAAATATGTAAATTAAGCTTGGTATAACTTAAGTGAATTCTAAATCTATGAAGTTTCGTAATCCATTGATTCTGCAGAACTATCACTGGAATCGTCTTTATCGACGGAACTTAAAGTTCAACTACCATTTCGATCATACCGTCCAAGCGCCACATATTATTTTCTTCCTTAATTACATGGAAAATAGCATTCTGCCAATCTTCAGGTTTTATACGTTCTATACCGGTTTTTAATAAACTTTGAACGTCGGCTATTTTAAAAGTTTTATTTTCTAGAGCTACAAACCCTTTCACTTGCGCCCAAATTAGTTCAATAGGATTGAATTCGCAGTGATAAGGGGGAAGTCTTAGTACCGTAATACCATGATCTCGAGCTATTGTGTCGACAACATATTGAATATATTTATGGAGGTGTTTCTTTATTTGGTCCATTAATTCCACTTTAAGCATCTACTCAGTAAATGTTATTGCTTTATCCCGCAGCCAGGTTTGCAGATCCGCTTTCCTACTGGACATTATCGGAATGCGTTCAACTCGTCGACTGTGATAAGGAGCGTTATCTAGTACAATAACTGAATTTCGATCTACACGCTATAATACTTCAGTAAACCATTTTTTAAAGCATTCCGCATTTATGTCCTCGTGGTAGTCTCCTGTTTTATTCGATATAAACACAAGAGCGCTATTTTCCAAAAATCCACTGTCACTTCCGATATGGGTAACAATTAGGCGCTGTCCTTTATCTGATGGTGCTTTTAAACCTGTAGATAATCCCTCTAAAAAAGCTTGGCGATGACTAGTTACAGAAGTATCTTGCCATATCTTAGATACCGTGTGTCCAGCATTCACCCACGTTACATCGAGATATATCTTTTTTTAGCGGCTCTAAACTCTTTAATATTTCGTAAATAACGCCGTCGCCAATACACTATATCTGACCTCTCAATTAAAATTGACTTCTTACCCAGTTTGACAAAACGAAATTTTAGGCCCCATAAAATTTTTAGTAAAGTTACACGGCTCTTTAATGGAATTTCTTCGTTTTCTCTTAATTTCATAAGAACAACTTTAAGTGTTGGGGCTTTGTTTTCAAAAAAAGAAGAATGTACAGTTCTTCGAATGATTTGTTTTGGGTTATCGTCCAATTTTAACAATTTTCGACCACGGGTATGCGTTTTAGGGGCTTCTAAGGAGCCTTTTTTGTCTTTTCGCGTACAATACGTTTAATTGTTGAAACAGATACTCCAGTTAAAAAAGAACTGCGGTTTACAGCTTCATTTGTAGAAAGTGTCTGTTTTAGCCCATCATACACATTCCATATAATGTTCTTTTTATCCTTTGATAAGGGCTTTCGCAGACGTAATTGGGTTTCACTTGGACCCGCCTCTGAATCCATTACTATTGTAATAATATAATTCTATCATTAAATAGTTTTTATTAAATGTATAAAGACACCATTATTTTACTATTTAATAAACTTTTAAAGTACCTACCTAATATACTACACAAGAAATATAACTTCTCGAATATGCACTACCACTACCAAATTGTAAGGCACAAACATGACCTACTCGTATATCAGAAAAGAGCACTTATACAAAAAAGTGTTTATAAAATATAAAATAATTATCGTAAATAGTTAAAGCGATACAAATCTAACTTCGTCGAAAGTTAGTTTTCAAACTGTCCTTGTGCCTGTGCTGACAATATTCAATCTGTAACCCGTCTGTCGTTTATTTACTTGAAACACATTTTAAAACCATTAAACACAGATAACAAAGTCATTAGTAAAGCTCGGATTTATAGGCAAAAAAATATGAAGGAAAAGGCGCCTATATAGGCAAAATTTTTTATTGAAAAAGGCAGAAATATGAACAAATAGGCAACATATAGGCAATATAGGCAAATGCTTTTAAATCCATAATTTTTAATAATATCTTATTTTTTTATTATACAAAGTGAATTAACTTAATATTAACTTAACACAAAAAATATATTTGCACAACATAATAACTAAATAATTGTTAAATATTAATTTTACATTGTAACCATTTAAAATTTTATCATTAATAGCTACAACTAAGTGCTTTTCTATATTTTCAGTCTTAAAACTTTGTCGTCTATCACTTAAAATTAATTTGTACATTGAAAATGAACGCTCTTCTTCGACAGATGTAATTGGAGCATATTTAAGAGCGGATAATAAATCTGGCTGAATTTGTAGTTCTTCGGAAAATGTCCCATTCAAAATTTTGGTAACATTAGACAAAAACGAGAAACCTTCATTCTTGTCAAAAACATCTTTCATTTTTTTAAAAATTAATTGACTATTATTTCCAGATGTTGACTTATTTTTTGACTTTAAATTATCTACTAATTTTACCGACTCACACAAATTTACCTCTTGTCGTTCTAATAAGGTAATTGTGCTAACTATTAATTTAAAATTGCCATTGATATAAGCTAGTTGCTGTTTTAATTTTTGATTTTTTAATATTTTTTTTTGCTGCTCGAATGGCTTCGGAAATATCACTAAATTCTGACATTACTAATTGTATTTCATCGCAGTGTTCAAAGGAAAAGAAAACTACTTCGAGCCACGTTCCCCACCTTGCAATTACTGGTTTAGGTGGCAAAGAGACACCGGGAAGTTTTTGTTTATATTTCTGCACCCTCAACGGAGCCTTTAGGAAAACTTTTTTCATACAATTTATAAAATCATTCACCAACGGAAACAGATTTCTTATTTCTTCTTATAGAGTACTACTGGTGATTGTTTATTATAAATTATAAAAGGGGAAAAGATTAGGGATTTCTAAGCCTTAATCTCTAACAGGTACATTTTCCTAGAAATCCATTATCAACAAACCATTGATATTCTATTATTGACCCAAAATGTTGTTATAGAAAGGTTTAGTAATCGTAATATGAATAATATCATAGGTAGTAGCAAAAAAATTTAAAAAAGGCATAAAAAGCCGGAATTTATGAAAAAAGGCAAAATGTACAGAAAACACATCGAATAGGCAAAATAGGCAAAAAAGGCATTTTGCCTATAATCCGAGCTTTAGTCATTAGGGAATAAATATATTCATTTCTAGAAAACTATCAAAAACGTTTATTTAACGCATCATCTTTGTTTAAATAAAGATGTTTGGAAACAAATTTAATAAAGTTTACTAACAAATACCTAATAAATAATAAATAAATATTTGGTATTTGATACGACGCCTATGCTGACTCTGTCGGGATTTTCATTCATAGACAACAGTTTTTATCATGCATATGACTCACCTTCTCCAATATTTTGTCCGAGTATAGGTTAAGCGAACCCGAATAGAGAAGATACTCTTAAGTCACATTTAACGCATAGTCGTCACCGTTTTAGAACAGCTGTTGATACGTAATCAAAATAAGTATTTCTTCACCAGCGGCGCTACTCATACGGTTCAAGAACAATGTTATGGCTCGATAACAGGAACCAATGGGCATTATGACGTAATAGTATCTTCTCTATTTGGGTTCTTTCATACACTACAAAAACAATTCTTTAACAGTAACAGTAACAAGGATTTTATTTACATAGTTAAAATATCTACAGATTCAGAATATGAAATAGTATAATCAACACTACCGGGATCTTCTCCTTTCGTGCTGGTCTAGAGTCCGACCGGACTTGTCCACCTATATCTATATTCTGATAAAAAATGATCAAATATTGCAGCCCTCACTCCTTACCATGCGATATTATTGAGGGATTAGGATTGTTTTGGAATCGGTAATGGGAATTTGTAAAAGGATATGTCGCGTTTGAGTTATGGTTTTTGTCCCCTGAAAAAGCTAGAAAAAACAGGGTTGTCCTTGTGTGTATAGTTGTTTGTTTAGTCTATTGTTCAGTAATACACCTCACAGGCAGAGTGCTCGATACACCGTCCATCGAGGCAACAATCGCGGATTTCACGCTTGTTGCTTCGATGGCCAGTCTACCGTTCAATCCACCGTCCGACTAGTTTGCGCAAGTATCTAGTCGGTGCGAGCTGTTGTTTAGTTTGTCTTTTGTCTGGGATCGTTAAGGAGGAATGTTATTGTATTTTGTTATTATTATTATTGTATGTTTCTGTGTCTGTATATGTCCAGTTTCGCGTGTAAACAGCCGTGTTTTCTACGTACGCCGTCCCCGCGATAGATGCTAAAGATGTCATCTTTCACATTATCGGGGAGACACCGCATGTAGAAATTTTCGGCTGTTTTTAGTACATAGTCCTTGATTCGTGGAGTCTCTGTTTGAACGTGCATGTCTTCAATTCTTGCATAGCGGTCGTAGCCCAGTGCTAGCCGAAGACATCTGTTCTGTGCAATTTGCAGTTTGTTATAGTGACAATTGGCCATCGAGCAGTAGACCGGACATCCGTATGTTAATATCGGTCTTAAGATGGATTTGAAAATTAAAAGTTTATTATCCAGGGTGACTTTGCTCCTCCTGTTTAATAGAAGATAAAGAGTTTTTATCGCTATATGACTTTTAGCCACCCTGTCTTTGATGTGCCGATCGAATGTCAGTCCCCTATCTAATTGAAAACCGAGATACTTCATGCTATTCCTAGTGTCTACCTGTTGTCCCTGAATATTGAGCGGTATATGAACTCCCCTTGACCTTCGCTTAGTGATGAGCATGCTCTCGGATTTTTGGGGGTTGATTTTAATTTTGTTTTTAATTAAATAGGGGACTAACTTCCTGTTTATATGGATGTCCAGTGTCCTGAGGGCACTTTCTGCTGAATGGTTGCTTTTGTACAGACAAATATCGTCGGCGTACAGTGCCGTTTGTACCCCATTATTACCCATTGGCATGTCATGGGTCATAATGGTGTACAAATGCGGCGAAAGTACTGAGCCCTGGGGCACTCCCGCCTGCGCGATGTATGGTCCTGTCGTTGTGTTGTTGATCTTTACGTTGAATTGTCTGTCCGTTATGTAAGAGTGAATTGTCTTTACAATATGTACGGGAAAATCATTCACAAGCATTTTGTGGATTAGCCCGCAGGTCCAGACAGAATCGAAGGCCTTTTCGCAGTCAAGTGCGACAAGTACCGTTTGTTTATTGATGTTAGTGGCCTCTTTGGCATAATGAGCTATTCTTAGTATTTGTGCAACGGTACTATGTCCCCTTCGGAACCCGTACTGTTCCTGCGGGATAAGTTTTAGTCGTTGTTCGATGTTTTTTAGTCTGTGTAAAATAATTGAGTCAGTAATTTTTGATATTGTGTTTAGCAACGAGATGGGTCGATAGCTTCCTATATTTTTGGGGTTTTTACCTGTTTTTAATATTGGTATAATATTTGCAATCTTCAGGCAACTCGGATAGTGTTGTAACCTGAAGATTGCATTTATTATGTAGTTGAGTTGTACAACCCCCTTTTTTGGAAGATTTTTAAGTAATATATTACTAATGTCATCCGGTCCCGGAGCTTTTCTATTTTTGAGTCGCTTGAGTGCATTCCCTACCTCTTTTGGAGAGGTCATGAAAGAGTGGGGGACGTGAACTGGGTCTGATGCACCTACATCGTTGACGAGTTCCTCGATTTGATTTTGTCTATTATTATTTACGTACTGATTTGTGAAATTACGCTGGAAATATTCGCCGAAGGCTCGTCCCTTATCATTATCGTTTGTCAGAGTATTTTGTCCTTGGTTCATTGTGGGAAGTTGTGAGCTGGGTTTTTTGTACCTTCTTACAACCCCCCACAATGAATTGTCTCCGGGTTTCACTTCAGACAGGGTTTTTTGCCACATTTTGTTTCTATGTTCGTTTATACGAGTGTTAGTGTACCTGGCTATGTCCATTAGCATAACCCTGTCTTCCGCTCTCCTGTGTAGCTGCCACCTTTTTCGTATTTTGTTTTTATTGGATATAAGTTCTGTGATGTCAGGTGGCAGTATGTCTTTGTGTAGTGTAGTTGTTTTAGTTTTTGTGGAGTCATTTCTAGCTTTTTGTATAGTTTGAATTAAGTCTTTTGTGGTGTTTTCAAACTTAACGATTGCAATTTTGTAACCAATATTAAATTATGTAGTTTTTAAAATAACAATATTTAATATATGTAACATTAGGTAGTTTTAACTAATATATTACGAGATATATTATGCGATATATTTATTCCTGATATTTTACCACAATATATTATGTAAATTTACTGTGAATATAATATTTACATTATCAAATAAGCGTTTAATATATTTACCTAATATATTTGGTAATGTTAACATAATAAATATTGAAAATTTACATTTTTTTAGTGTACGTTTAAAAATAAGATTAGCTATGGTTTTTAAATACTTCTAAACATATTTGACTCTAGAGATTTACGTTACTTACAAACAAATACCACAGGAAGTTGATTAAATTTTAATATTCATAATTTCAATTTTAGGGAAGTCGCTCAAGAGATAATTAATACTGCTGAAAGACTAGGATTCGAAGGAATAGTATTAACAGTTGATTTTCCGGTACTAGGTTCGCGAAATATTATAGCACAATATGGACATCCTTTGCCCTACTACCTGAAGTAAGTACCGTTGATGATTCCCTTAGCTTAGTTCAGTAGATACATTTTTTGTATAATCTTGCTTTAGAAATAATAAAAGGTTATAAACTAATATTAAATATTTTAACAATTCGTTGTATGGATATTTCTTAAAGAAAAATTGGTTTGCTAGAGGTTTGGTATCAATTCTATTAAGCCAGTTACATAAAATCTAGTTACATAACATCAGTAATCTTTATTACAAAAAAATTACTAATTATTAATAATTGTAGGAAAGCTATTCTAGAAAAATACTTAGATTCCGGAATAATTTCTAATTCAGCAGAGGTAACTGATCCATCAGCCGACTGGAGTTGCATTAAATGGTTAAAAAGTATAACTAAACTTCCCATTATTGCTAAAGGAATCTTAACAGCCGAAGATGCTATTCTAGCCGTAGAAGCTGGAGTATCTGCTATATTGGTATCCAATCATGGTGCGAGACAACTTGATGGAGTTCCTTCAACGGTAATTATTTATTTAATTTTTAATTTTTTATACAAATATTGGCAATGAAAACTCAACAGTGTCCTCTATTTATTTATTTATTTATTTTTATTATTTATCTCCACTTTCTTTGGAACAAAAATTAAATAATAACAAAAATATTAAAATGTTCTTTCTAATTAAAAAAAATTTTTTTCTTTTAAATTTTATCCATTACATATTTTAGCCTTTTAGAGGTATTATACTTTATTCACATGAGATTGTTACCAAATGTAGCAATTAATTAAAGGACCACGCACTTTTCTTATGCAAACGGAAGTGTCCATGGGCCCAATCGTATCCTATGACTAGATTTTGAGATACAGGGTGTTAAAGTTAGAAATCCCTAATTCTTTAAAATGGACACCATAAATCACCCTTAAATATATTTGAAATTTATTTGCTCATTCTGTATAGTCAAAATACATACTTCACTACTATAATTAAAATATTGTCCCTTACAGGGTGATTAATGATTCGGCAGATCTTTTTTGGTCAAAGTAGGTATTTCCACCGAACAAAAATAGCTGAAATACCGAAAAAAAAAAATAATAAATATATCACCGTCAAAGTTTCTCAATATTTGATATCGTATAGTACTCGATGTACTCGTTCAAAATGCTAATTGGTAAAATTAGATCATATGACTAGTTTTCCAAATATAACCTAATATGTACCAAATATATGAATTTTAAACAATAAACATACTGATATAAGTGGATATGTTTCAGAGAAATACTGTATATTAGATAATTTGACACACTGTGTTGGATTAGAAATATACCCCTTGTACTATTTGAGGACAGCCAAAATTATTTCGTAGTTACAGGGTTATTGCGTTTGAATATGTAAGGTAAAAAATCATCAAAATGTTGAAATTGTTGGCAAAAAATAGAAAATAATTGCATTTTAACTTTGGAGTTGTTTATCAAAAAAATCTTATTAGTTCACATACAGAGTCATACATTATTTCATTACAAAAAAAGTTCATTATTCGGTTTCAACATTTTGTTGACTTTTTTATATTATATTCAACCGCAATCACCCTGTAAGTACGAAATTTTTGTCTGTTTCCAAATAATACAAGGGTTATATTCCTAATCTAAACACAATGTGTCAAAATATTTAATATAAGATATTTCTTTTGAAAATATCTACTTATGTCAGTACATATTTATTGTTTAAAATTCATTTATTTGTTATCTACTTGTTATATTTTGTGAACCAATAGAACAATATTGTGGTAACTTAAGAAGCATTGCTTAAAAAGCTTTACTTGCTTTTCTTGTTAAACTAAGACATGGATTATCAGATGAGTTCCCAATCTGATATAAATATACATAAAGAGGCAATATAAAGAGCTAATGCTCCGGTCAAAATAAACATGTAATCCGATCATTATTCATTTCCCTAAATCCTACTTAGACCTACCGTATAACGAACTTTTTTTGTAACAAAATAATGTATGAGTCTGTATGTGAACTAATAAGATTTTTTTGATAACCAACTCCCAAGTTAAAAGGCAATTATTTTTCTATTTTTTGCTAACAATTTCAACATTTGGTTGATTTTTTCACCTTACATATTTAACCGCAATCACCCTGTAACTAGGAAATAATTTTGGCTGCCTTCAAATAGTACTATACTATACTAGTACTATACTATACTATACTATACTATACTATACTATACTATACTATACTATACTATACTATACTATACTATACTATACTATACTATACTATACTATATACTATACTAGTATTTATAATCCAACACAGTGTGTCAAATTATCTAATATACAGTATATCTCTGAAACATATCTACTTACGTCAGTATATTTTTTTTGTTTAAAATTCATATATTTGGTACATATTACGTTATATTTGGAAAACTAGTCATAGGATGTAATTTTACCAATAAGAATTTTGAACGAGTACATCGAGTACTATACGATATCGAATATTGAGAAACTTTGACGTGATATTTTTGTTTTCGGTGTTTCAGCTATTTTTGTTCGGTGGAAATACCTACTTTGACCAAAAAAGATCTGCCGAATCATTAATCACCCTGTAGGAGACAATATTTTAATTAAAGTAGTTAGGTATGTATTTTGACTATACAGAATGAGCAAATAACTGCCAAATATATTTAAGGGTGATTTATGGTGTCCATTTTAAAGAATTAGGGATTTCTAACTTCAACACCCTGTATCTTAAAATCTAGTCATAGGATACGATTGGGCCCATGGACACATATTAATTTAACATATCAAAAATTCAGACATTTTGACGGTACTCCCGTTTGCATAAGAAAAGTGCGTGGTCCTTTATTAGGATGCTTCTCAAATATTATTACTTTTGTATTATATCCGCGAAAATTATGTACATTAAAAGAAGAACAAACTCAGTTTTGATTACTTCAATAAAAGGTGTGAAATTAATCGTTAACAAAATATATTTTAAAAATTGCCTGTTTTTAAATTGTTTAGATTGAATCCCTACCAGAAATTGTCAGCGCAGTTGGCGATAAAGTAGAAGTATATGTCGATGGAGGAATTAGAGATGGTACCGATGTGTTTAAAGCTCTAGGTCTTGGAGCAAAGATGGTTTTTATTGGTAGACCAATTGTGTGGGGTCTGTTTCATAACGGAGAACAAGGAGTTAAAAATGTTTTAACGATTCTTCGAAATGAGCTTGACAAAGCAATGGCAATTTCAGGTACATATAGCAAATAATATAAATAATTATAGAGATTTTAACGACACCTCCATATCACGCGATTTACTAAAACAACAAATTTGATGGAAATGATCTCTTTTAGTGAATTATTACAATTTTATTTTTAGTACTGAAAATACATCAAAAGCATTGTTTTAGGTTTTCTGTTAAGATACATATTTGATATTATTTTTAGCCAACTGATATTAATTTAGCCACATGGGATACGGGTATTGTTAAAGTAGTAGTAGTAGAAGCAGATATATCTGTATTTTTAAAGTAAAGGATGGAGGGGTGTGAGGTGACCCACATCACTTTGGCCTCCTTTTGCAGATTAAATCCGATATTGCTGAAATTATTTAAAATATGTCAACAGCGTGAAAAATTTAATGTCATTTAATCGATTTTATTTTTTAGGATGTGCAGGTCTGGATGATATTACAAAAGATAAAGTTATACATGAATCACATTACTCTAAAATATAATACAGTTGATGATATAAAGCAACTATAAATATTCTTTAAATAAGATCTAATATATATTTGTGTATTTTATTAAATGTAAATATTAAAACTGTCTTTTTTTTTTCAATAATAACACTGGATAAAACCAAAAGGCCAGTCTATTGTAGTAATCTATTATTCTTTAATTGTTTTATACACTATTGTTACATGATTACATTATTATTATTATATTTTAGCTTACAGCTATCAAAATAATTGAATTAGTAATTAATTATATAAATATATATATTTTTTTTATTTTCCTTTTTTTTGTTATTTTTTGTTTGTTTTGTATTATTTTTTGTTTTTCCTTTTTTTCCTTTGTTTCTTTTTTGTTTCATCATTCACTTTATTTTTCCTTTTAGGTTTTCAATATTTTTAGAGTAGCTCAGCTACTTACAGTCTTGTATTAGTTTTTTTTAACAAATTCATACAATATTTTATAAACTTTAACATCGTTTAATGAAAGCAAAACATCAATGTTTATTGGTAGAGGTGTACCAATATTAACTGGTTCTGAGTACATTGTGTCAGTATCTAGCGAGTTTAGGATACACTCTAAAATTACATGATTGAGATCAGCAATTTCATGACAAATTAAACATAAATTATTATCTGATAGACCAAGTTTTTCTTTGTAGGCAGGATACATAACATGATTACTTCTAATACGACAAATAACTCGAATAGAAGACCTATTTATTTTGTTTTTGAATCAGGGACACTTTGGAATATTAGGTTGAATGTTTTTGTATTTCTTTCCTTTTTTTCTTTTAAATATACATCTTGCCAAGTTTTAAACATTCATAATTTAGAATTAGAATTTCTGAAGCTTTATAGTTGGTAGGACTGGTAACGTTCTATTTTGCAAAGTATTCTACTGCACTCTTACTATCAGTAAATATAACATGCTTAAATGTATTTTCTTAAAGACATACGTTATAAGCTTCTTTTAAAGATGCAAGTTCAGCATTGTATATTGAGATTGTACTTGGAAGTTTAAATGTAATTTCATATTTTTTGTTATGATACAAAATTGCACATCCTAATTGGTTCCCAAGTTTAGATCCATCCATATATATGTTTTCAAATGTATTCCATTTTTTTAATAAGTCTTCTTTAAATGCGTTTTTAATTACTAGATGGTTTTCATTCATAAGTTTTTGGTTTATATATGTTTTCAATTAAAACTGAGAAATGTAAGGATCATAATGGAATTTCATTTTGTTGATTTAGGTTTAGAATCATTTCAATGGTAGCTAAAAACATTCTCTACTATAGTCTATTTTTATATATGAGAGAGTAATAAAACAGCATTTCTAATGCAAAACTTAGTACGGTCATTTTAAATATTTTTACAGAATAATCTAAATATTTCCAAAAATTGTAATAAATGTACCTGAGCTATTACAAGTTTTGGGTCTTTTATTGGTCCTTTATAACCATAAGCTGTACAGAACAATAGAAAAAGGTTTGGATAGGCCAAAATCCCTGTGTATTAAAGATTACATAGCCGTATCTTAAGATTATTTTCAATAAGTACCTATTTGCCAATTTTGTTCTATTTTAATTCCAAGAATTTCTTACAGTAATCGAATTATAAGTAGATAAATACTTTCCCAACAAATTTCACCGAAAATGCGATTATAGGTTTTCCATTTAGTAAGGAGGTCCAAGTTGTGTATTCTTAACAGTTTACTAAATGTCGTTTAGTTGCAACTTGCAAGGTGCAGTGTGAATTCTAGTGTGACCATGGAAAATTTGGAAGGGCCGCGTAAACGACAAAAAATCGGTCCTTTAACAATTAATGAGAAAACATTAATATTTAATTGTTTTAAATCATTTACAGACAAAGATTTATGTAAAAGTGTTGATGACACAGAGGCATTAGTTAGTAGTACGCTTGGTGTTTGGAAATCTATGATTTACAGAGTTGTTAAAGAAGAGAAATGTGGCTAGTTTCAAACAGCACGTAAAGCTCCAGGAAAACCAAAATTTCAACTAGAAAATCTTTTGAATGAAAGACTTCGAAGAAAAGTGCATGCGTTCTTCTTTAGTAAAGAATTTCCGACAGTAGACAAAGTTCTTGCCACGGTTCGAGATGATAAGGATTACCCTGAAATGAGTCGAAGCACACTATGGAAACTTTTAAAAGAAATAGGTTTTCTATGGAAAAAGCATTCCAGAAAGTCTATTTTAATAGAAAGAAGCGATATTGTAGTATGGAGAAGAAATTACCTAAGGACTATAAAAGAAATGAGAAACCAAAGAAGAAATATATTTTATTTAGATGAAACATGGATCAACGAGGGACATAAACCAAATACATTTTGGCAAAATGAAACTGTTACAAGTCGAAGACAGGCTTTTTTAAATAATTTATCTACTGGTTTAAATCCACCATCAGGAAAGGGGCGCAGACTAATAACACATCGGTAGTTCAAAACGGTTTTGTTAAAGGTGGTTTATTGACTTTTGAATCTACTCGTACCGGTGACTACCATGAGGACATGAATGTTGATGTCTTTAAAGAGTGGTTCAAACAAATTATAGATCTTCTTCCTCAGAACTGTATAATAGTAATGGATAATGCAAGTTATCACTCGAGACTTAGAAAAAATGCCCACAACCAAGTGGTTAAAAAAAGATTTACAGAATTGGCTAAATTCAAAGAATATTAAGTTCCATCCCGGTTCTGTGAGAAAAGAACTGTATCATTTGTGTTCCCTTCATACAGAGAAATTCAAAAAATATGAAATTGATGAAATTGCAAAAAATCGAGGGATGACGGTGGTTAGATCACCACCATATAATTGCGAAGTAAACGAGATTAAACTGATATGGGCACAGATAAAGGAAGAGTGTTTCAAGAAAAAATAATTCTTTTAAAATGAGTGATGTTAAACAGCTGTTGGAGGCTGTCAATAATGTGAAGCCTGAAAACTGGGAAAAGGCAGTAAATCATACGATTAAAGAAGAAGAGAAAATGTGGAATTTGGACAATATTACTGATGAAATGATCGAGCAACTCATTGTAAATATTGGTTGCGACAGTTCATCTTCTGATTTCGATTCTGATTTGGATTTGTAGGTAAGAAGTAGTTTTTATATTAAAATTATTATTTATGAACGTAACGTTATTTAAAAGTCAAAGTTTAAACCCTTATACCTACATAATCCGTTTGACACAATGTTCTTAACATACCTTGTGGAAAAATAAAACATGTTAGAAAAAATTGCACTTTTTTACCTTCAGCTGTTTAGAAGTTATAAGCAGGTTAATTAGGTGAAAATATGAGTGTATACTCGAGGAATAACTTCAAAAAATATTTTAACTGTTTACTAAAAAAGTGATACGCCTATGGATTACGAAGGCTTTATTATTTTAATACTCTCTCATACATACAAATAGACTATAGTAAAGGTAGGTTTTTCTTTGACCAATACTTTCCAGTTGAACACAGAGAAGATAAATTGGATAAAAGGGGGAGAAGAACCGAATTTTTGACCTTTGATTTATTAAAAACTTGTGGGATAAAAATTTTCTTCCGATTCTATTACATTAATTGGAGTGCTTGGGAGTAAACCTATACTTAATCTAAGACATCTGTATTTTATTTTATCCAATTTTTGCAGATGAGAATTTGATGCATCATTGTATAATATTGCACCATAGGTAAAAATTGATCTAATTAACACCCTGTAAAAAAGAATTGGTATGTTGGCGTCTGCACCCCAATTATATGTGGAAACAGTTTTTATTAAATTTCTGTTCTTTTTACAATATAATTAATATGTTCCTTTCAGTTTAGCTTTTTGTCTCATATAACACCCAAAAATGTATGACTACTTTTGAGTTAAAATTGGCAGTTTCCTAGTGTAACAACATTTGAAAGATGAGTTCTTTTCCTTGTGAAGCAGACTATCGCTGATTTGTTTTCTAAAATTGTTAGACCATTTGCTAACAACCATTTCTGTATATCGTCTACACTTAATGATAGTTGATAAATACTAAAATCATTACTTTTATGTTGAGTATATAAAACAATATCATCAGCAAATTGAAGAATTTTTGTAGGAATAGATA